CTATTTATAATGGTACCATTGATGTTGACTTCCCTCAGGTCCATTCCGCATCCATCCATTGTGGGCGATTTGGGTTGGGCAGGTGGTCATCTGCGGGTAGGATGTTCCATTCTTTCAGTAGGTCGAGGCCTGCTTCTAGGTTTCTGACTGTGAACATTCTTTTTTGTCATTTAATAGTGAGTTTTGTGGGAAATCCCTACTGGTATCCAATTCCATTGTTTTGTAATGCTTTTGTTATGGATATTAGTTTATTTCGGTTAAATAGTGTTGTTTTCGATAGATCTGTGAATAGCTTGATATTAGCCTGTGATGCGGGAAGTGGGATTGTATTTCTTGCTGCAATCATAACTTTTTCTTTCACATGGTAGAAATGTATACGCGCTAGTATATCTCTTGGTACTGATGCAGGTAGAAATGATGGTTTAGAGATGTGTGCGAGGTCTATAGCGAGTCCTAGATCTGTGATTGATGGGAGGAGGTGTTTCATTAGTTGTTGCAGGTAGGGCACTATGGCATCCGTGGCAATGGATTCAGGTATGCCTCGGAATTTAATATTATTCCTCCTGGAGCTGTCTTCTAGGTCCGCTAATTTTTGTTTTATTTGTTCCAATTCCTTTTCATGGTCTGCGTGAGCATCTACTATGTTGTTGTGGGCTGTGAACGTGTCGCTCATCTTATTTTCAATATGGCATATGCGGTGGTCATGTTCTTGAACCAAGTTAGAGATTGAAGAAATTGCTGCAGTTAAGTTCTTATGCAGAGATTGTCATAAGGAAAGAAGCATATTTTTCATAGACAATTCTGATATAGGTTGGTCAGAATCAGGAAATTAATCAATAATAGACTGAGGTGCAGGAATAGGTAGTGGAGATGAGAGAGGAGATTGTAGGTCAGAGTTGTCATCATTATTATTATTCTCTATGCATGGCCTCGATTTTGCAGGGCTACTAGTAGAGGGTGACAGGGGAGGAGAGGACTCACCAGGGTCACCTTCATATAGTGATCTTCTAAGCCCGGGGTCCGGTATGTAGGCAGGCTGTCCCTCTCTCTGTGCTGAGGGACCATCCTGCATGCAGCCAGCGCCATCTTGACTGCTAGTTGTCCAGGCCGGGAACAAGCTCGTCAGCCTCTGTGGGTGTCCCAGCGCCTTCTGATGTCGGGTCATGGTTCCAGAGGTACCGGAGAGTATTTGTGTCAGTTTCTGTGGGATTTAGGGCCCACGGGTTGGCTTGTTGCTGCTATATAAGATGGAGGGATGCCAGAGCTCTAAAGAGGAGTGGACATTCCCAGAGCCGGCCGCGCATGCGCCCCCCCACTCTTAAAGTAAATTGGAGGGACCTTTCCACACTGAACAGTAATTTTTGTCTTTGGATTGGTATATGTCCCCCTGGCAGTGCCCAGTCCAACATGCCCTTTGTTTAACACTCCCTTTTCTATTAGCCTTGAAAATTACCAGAATTGATCTTCAAGATTCACTTCTCATTGGCTTCATTGGATTAACTTTCACACTTTGAGAAATTTATGACATGTTTGACAAATGGACTGAGAATTGAACCCAACAACACTTGCTCAAAATCTGACTAAACTGACAAACAAAATTCATAAGCAGTTATTAAAAGTATTATATTTGGACTGCCCTAAGTGACCACCACAAAAAAAAAACCCAAAACATTTTTTTTCTTGGAGATTCAAAATCATAGTGAATTTTGTACCATGAAATGTATCTTAACCCACATTAAAGCAAAACTTCAGCTAAGTGAGACGTGCTATTCAATACTGTTAATCTTGTTTAATAAAAACAGTCTAAGAAAAAACTGAAAACATTAATTAAAATATCTGGTGCAGTAAATGTTGTTTATCTTGCTTTTCCAGCATAAAAATGTTATTAAACAGTCAGTTTAACAGTCTGCAGTACTAGAACAAAACATGCATACAACTTGACATTGATGTATTTTGTGTTCGTCATCAAAACTATAGTTAGTTTCTTTAGAAATAATCACATCTTTCTAAAAGAACAAAACAAGGCAAAATGAGCCTTTTTGTACCTTTATTTGAAAAAAAAAGTTGAAAATGATTTTGCTAAACATAGAATTTTTCATAGCAGGTAATTATTGTTTTCAAACATGTCTGGTTTGTAAAACTGCAGTTTAAAAAATTAAAAGCTATCAGATACAGTATATACAAACAGAAGAGCAAACTAAATGAAGCCATAACAATACACTAAAGGAAGAACTTGGTAGAATGTGCTAGAATAGTTAGGAATTATTAGCACACTTTAATAATTTTGTTTAGGAAACATGCATTAAATCAGGAAAGGAATTTGAAGAACCCAAAAAAGGATGCTTCATTTTTAAAAGAAATTCTTGTGAGTGATATATTAATTTATACATATTTCTGTTTAATCATACGGAAGTCATATTTCCTGTTTAATAATCTCTCTTGTTTTCTCTGTACAAAACAATGTAAAATACTGCTAACATATACTGTACATCTGCATTAAGTTTATTATTTTGCTTGTTAAAAGTCTGTGCATCTCCTTAAAGCGGAGCTCCACCCAAAAAGGGAAGTTCCGCTTTAAAGACTGGTTCCCCACACCTTTTAGGAGCGGGTACCCGAAATTGACAGGTACCCACTCCAACTTCTGCTGTGATCACCTAGGTGATTGGAAGTGGAAGTTGCCCTCCTACCCACCCTCCCTGTAGTCTTCTGGGACACGTGACAGGTCCCAGAAGACTACAGGGCCATTCAGGGAGCGCAGTGCTACTCGTGCATGCGCAATGAGCACCCAGCTGTGAAGCCACAAGCTGTCACAGCTGGGTGCCCACACTGAAGATGCTGGCGCCTGGAACACCAGATGGCTGGTGAAACGGGCTGTGGGGAGGACACCGCTGGATCATGGGACAGGTGAGTGGCTGTTTTTTAAAAGTCAGCAGCTACAGTTTTTGTAGCTGCTGACTTTTATTTTTTACAGTGTGAGTAAAACTCATCTTTAAAGTCTTTTTGTTCTAGTTGAGGTTGGGGGGAGGGGGAGTTAATAGACAGCAGAAAAACTGACAATATAACCCTTCTGCCCTCTATAGAAAACTAAAAAAGAGAAGGGGGTCTGAGTTTAACCACCTCAATACTGGGCACTTTTACCACCTTCCTGCTGAGGCCAATTTTCAGCTTTCAGCGCGATCACATTTTGAATATCAATTTACTTGCTTTCTTTTGGTGGTATTTAATCACCACTGGGTTTTTTTTTTTTGCACTATAAATTAAAAAATACCGCAAATTTTTTTTAAAAAAAAGCATGTTTTTCTTCCTTTCTGTTATAAAATTTTGAAAATAAGTAATTTTTCTATATATACTGTATTTTTATCAACATTTATACTGCTACATTTATTTGGTAAAATAATCCAAATCAGTGTATATTATTTGATCTGTGGGAACATTACACAGTCTACCAGCTATGGTACCAATCATTGAAAACTGATCACACCTGGTGTACTGACGACTTATCTCATTTCTTGAGGCCCTAACATGCCAGAACAGTACAAATACTTTATAAATGATCCCTTTTTGGAAACAGTCTGAGGTATTTAGTAAGAGGCATGATGAGGTTTTTTTTAACTTTTTGTTCCACAATTCTTTGGAAAATGAAGAGATTAAATAAAATGTGTTTTTATTTTCCATAAAAATGTCATATTAAGTTATTTCTCACACATGGAATAGGCATATTTGCAATTACACAACAAAACACATTCTGCTACTTCTTCTGAGTATGTTGATACCACATGTGTAAGACTTTTTCATAGCCTAGAAAGAGAGGCCTAACATCCAAAGAGAACCTTCAGGTATTACTATTTTAAGACCAGCCATTGGAATGCCATCTGATCCAATCCACCTAAATGGAAGAGGACGAATCCCCTTCCAGTTTTTTTTAGTGCATCAGATTGGACCTGGAGGAGTGGAGATGCAAGTGAGGAGATATATTAAGGAGGAGCCATCTAAGTGCACCTGGATGAGGAGCTTTATCTGAGAGGATATACCATTAAGGTGATAACTGCTTTGTGGCCCTGTGTGGATCAGCATGAGGAGGTGAGCAGGCATTGCTGCCGTTTGGAGGATTCACTTTTCACACTAGAGTGGAGAACACGTTTGTTTGAAACACAGAATCACATGCATGGACTTTTTTCACCAATTTATGCATTGTTTATCTCTGTTTATGGCACTAATGAATGTTAATTAGTTTATTCATACATTGGGGAGGATAGTCACTGGTATGTTTTTCCACTTGATATCCTATTTTTGTGGATCTTAATTTTGAGTTCAGTTAGTTTATATATTATCATCAGTTTGTTCACTGTGTGTCAGTTCACTATTCATTATTATATATTGGGATTTCACTAATTTAACCACTAGCCTACAGGGCACTTATACCCCCTTCCTGCCCAGGCCAATTTCCAGCTTTCAGTGCTGTCACACTTTGACATTGCGCGGTCATGCAACATTGTACCCATATTAAATTTTTATCATTTTTTTTTGAGACAGAGCTTTTTTTTGGAGGTATTTAATCACCTCTGGGATTTTTATTTTTTCTTAAACAAACCATTGAAAATTTTGAAAAAAAAAATGTTTTTTCTTAGTTTTTGTTATACAATTTTGTAAATAAGTAATTTTTCTCCTTCACTGATGTGCGCTAATGAGGCTTCAGTGATGGGCACTGATAGGCTGCACTGATGGACACTGATAGGTGGCACTGATGTGCACTGATGAGGGAGGCACTGGTAGGTTGCACTGATAGGCATTGACAGGCATCACTGATGGGCACTGAAAGGCAGCACTGATACATGACACTGATATATGGCACTGATAGGCGGCACTGACTGGCACTGATGGGCGGCACTGACTGGCACTGATGGGCAGCACTGACTGGCACTGATGGGCAGCACTGACTGGCACTGATGGGCAGCACTGACTGGCACTGATGGGCAGCACTGACTGGCACTGATGGGCAGCACTGACTGGCACTGATAGGTGGCACTGATTGGCAGCACTGATAGGTGGCACTGACTGGCAGCACTGATGGGTGAAATTGAAAGGCAGCTCAGATGGGCACTGATATGTGGCATTGATGTGCACTGGTATGTACTGATATGTGGCATTGATGTGGCACTGATGGGCACTGGCATGTGACACTGATGGGCACTAGCACTGATGAGCACTGATAGGTGGCACTTCTGGGGCCCACACTGATCATCAGGGCACACTGATCATTAGTGCCCTAATGATCAGTGTACATGTTCCCTCTGCGGAAAGCCGATTACCGGCTCTCCTCTCCTCTCGAGCTGTCAGCGTGACAGCTCGAGAGGAGAGAAATGCCGATAATCGGCATTTCCGTGTTTACATGTGATCAGCTGTGATTTGACACAGCTGATCACATGACCGAGCTGACATCTTCGACTCTTTACGTGATCTGTCCGAGGGACACAGCAGACCAGCGATCGCCGCGCTGCTTGCTCCCTGAGCCACGCATGCGCAGTGAGAATGGTAGGACGTCATATGACGTCCTATCAGAATGAGAGAACCACCTTGCGCCCGTCATTGTACTATAGGGCGGGTGGAAGGTGGTTAATCTCCCATGTAGGGAGGTGTTATTGATATGGATTGTGTGTGATATCACTGAGCACTTTTATATGATTCCGCAAATATTTATTTATATTTATTATTTATTTTTATTTAAAATATAAAATATAGTGTTGAGCTGAGTAAAGAGATACCAAACATGTCACGATTTAAAATTGCGCATGCTTGTCAAATGGCTCCAAACTTCTGTATTTAAACATCTCCATAGGCGATGCTTTATAATCTTTTTGCAGGTTAATAATTTAAGTTTACAGAGGAGTTCTGGTGCTAGAATTATTGCTCTCACTCTGGTCTCTGGTGCTTGCAGCAATACCTCACAATTGCTGTTTACTTACGAGTACGAGACCAATGCTTGTCTTCACCTTTGCAGGCGAGCACTGGGGGGGGGGTGCTATAATTGTATTTATTTATTGGTGGTACACTGGTACATTTACAGATTTTTTTGTACTTCAACACTGTGACAGATGTTGATGTTGCAATGGAACACTATTTCAGATGTTTTTGTGCACTGGTACACTGTGACAGATGTTGATTGGACACTAGTACACTGACAGATGTTTTGTGCACTGGTACACTAGTACAGATGTTGATGTGACACTTGGACAGGGGCAGATGGTGCTTGATGTACTGTGTGGGGATGGATGCAATCTGTGAGTTCTCTGTACAGCTGAACACTAACATCATCAGCTATACTGAAAGCTGTCACAGACTGCAGCATTCCCCTCCCCCCCACATGCACTGAGCTATCACTGAGCTGAGCAGGAAGCTATGACACAGAGACATGTGTCTCTGTTGACACTGAGTAATGGATGTGATGTGACACAGCCATCATATGATCGGGAGGGCCAATCATAGTGCTCTTGTCCCAATATGTGATGTGCTGTGTCCAAGGGACACAGCCAGCATGGCCCTGAAGCTGCACAAGGTGCACGTTCTGAGAGGATTTTCAGGAACGTTCACACAGAATAGGAAAGGTCCCACCTGGCCATTTATGTGCAGTAGCTGGGTGGAAAGCAGTTAAACTATAAAAGGGAGGGACTAAATTAAACCAAAAAAGTATACATTTTGAAGTCTATTCTGTAACATTTTGCCTTCATAAAAAAGTCATCTACATTTCATAACCTCCAAAAATGATGGTGTTTGGTTATTTTTCATAGGCAATTTTTAAAAACAGTTTTTATTTAGTTTTGATTTTTAACAATAATAGAAACTCATTTCCTCACATCACAAAATAATATAACATGAACAGTATGTGTAAGCAAGTCATATATCAGGATATGAAAAAACTGAATATGATACAAGTCATGTTTGGACTGTGAGAAAATAAACAGACATAAAACATACATATAATATACTCAAGTAACATAATGCTAGTGGTACTGAAGCCCCCCCACCAAAAAAAAAAAATAGTGTCATGTGGATGAAAGAGAAAAAAGGAAATGGAGGAAGGAGAGTGGAGAGAAACCTGGTAGAGTATAATCAAGTTATGGAAGGGAAGTAGGGGAAGGAAAATAAAAGAAAAGGGTATATCTAACTAAATAACTAAATACTAAACCTTATGGTCCATGGTTTTGCCCGGGGTCCATTACCCCTCTCTATATTTGCTATGTTAAGCCTGGAGCTGAGCAAGTAAAGACAGCCCTATTGGGTAGGGGGTGGTGGGAAGGAGGGAATAGCAGAAGGGTTGGATACATTAAAAAAAGAAAAAAAGGGGAAAGGAGGTTTTTGCATGGGTAGATATTGGCCCCGAGTGTGGTAATCAGAAAAAATATTAGTTTTTGATTGCTTTGTATGATGCTGATCTATGGATTCCCTCCAATGTAATCCATGTAAATTTAAATTGTTTCAGTCTGTAAGTTTGTAATGCATAATGAACTCCATTTAAAAAATATAAACTGGGGGAGGAGCCAGCAGTTGAGAAGATGGTAACAGTCTGAGTGAGCTCCAGAGGCACCTTCGCACACAGAGGTTCCAGCAGCGACAGGGAGCAACTTTAATCATATGCCCCACTCAGAGAATGATCCCCACTCCTAACTGGAACAGGATGAGGAAACGAAAAATGAGAGTTGGCCCTCAGCTCACAGATTTCTTCCCATTTGCCAGCGCCTCTCCCCGCCAAGATGGCGCCGGCAGATCTCCGGCATCATCTCACAGTGGATAACCTCGTAGCAGACATGGAGGTGACAAAATGCAGGGGGGACATGGGCACGGTAAGACCACTGATATCAGTCCTTGCTACAGCCCACAGAAAGCTAAATTTAAGCACTCTGCTTCTATTCTATCTCTGCCTGGCATGCTAAGGATGAATGCAATTCCCAGGATGATACCAGGTAACTGATTGAACCAATAGAAGAATTCTCTACTAAATGCCAGCCCATCATGGATACCACTCTGAAAATGATGTTAATTTCTTTGAGGGGTACTATACGTACAGATATGATGTCCTTTGTTTCCCAAGTTAGACAGGACGTGGCTGAATTAAGGGATAGAGAGCACCATGTAAAAACAAAATGGGAGAGTTTGCAAAAGCCCACAATGAATTGATTGTTTGCACATTTTATGAAGAAGAGGAAGTGAAGGCACTTTAAATAAAGATGGCTGACCTGTAGGATAGATCCAGGAAGAATAATGTGAAATTTAGGGGAGTAGCAGAAACCGTTCCTCTTGCCAATTTCAGCAGATGATCTTTGTCTTGCTCCCCTCAGTGCATGAAAAAGCGCTTGTGGTGGATAGAGCTCACCGACTCCCTCGTCCCTCTCATTTACTAGACAATATCTCCAAGGACATCATTGCAAAAATCCACTTCTTTCATGTGAAAGAAAACCTTATGCAATTTGGAAGACACAACTCTCCCCTGCTAGATCCCTATACAGGAATCATTCTTATTACTGATTTGTCTCAACATATTATACAAGCTCATAAGCAGCTGTTGCATATCACAAAGCTTTTAACCACTTTAAGACCATCCGTCCGCAATATACTGTGGACAGGCAGCAGCTACAGGCAAAGTGACGTGCCGGTACATTGCTTTGCCTCTCCTAACACAGGGGGGTGCAGTGCACCTGATGGGTCACCCAGCGTGCCCCCCCCCCACCAGACACAGCGGAATAAAGATGCTGGTGAACAGGACTCTGTGATCAAGTGATCACTATGCTGGCAAAGCTGCTATGAGTCAATCTGATTCCTAACAGTTCTGCTTCTCTTACTGGTGATCTATGACTGGCCTACAGTGCTCACATGGTACATGAGGCCAATCACAGCACCCTTTACCATGCAACCAACTGGAGCTAATTACAGATCACTGTATTTTGAACTGTCATGAACTTAACCCATTCATGACAGTTCAAAGCATGCTTTGCATTGCAGAGCAATAACCTTTATTGCTCATGAAATGCAAAGTGCACAATGTTACTATTGTTACTATGGTAACATTACACTACTCTGATGAAAGTATTTTTTAAATAGTAAAAAAAAGAATAATAATGTAAAATAAATAAAAATAAAATATTGAGAATTTTTTTTTATTTTTTAATTTGTTTATTTTAAAATTTAAAAAAGTGTATTTTCCCCCAAAAATTTGTGTTTGAAATGTCACCCCGCAAATACTGTCTAACATAAAATAATTTAATCAAGCACCATTTTATTCCTTAGGTCCTCTGATTTAAAAAATAATAACGTTTGGGGGTTCAAAGTAATTTTCTAGCAAAAAAAAACAACATTTTTTATGTAAAAAAAAGTTTGTCAGAAAAGGCCAGGACTAAAGAAGCACCCCCTTAAATGACCCTTTTTTGGAAAGAAGACACTCAGAGGTATTTGCTAAGGGGCATGCTGTGTATTTTACAGATCTAATTTGTTGCCACAGGTGTTTGGGAAATGAATAAAGAAAAATAACATGTATTTTTTCTTTTTTTTTTTTTTTTTTCAAAACCCTGTGACAAAAATGATATCTGCAAAATACTCACCATGCCTCTTATAAAATTCCTTAGGGTGTCTACTTTCCAAAAAGGTGTAATTTGGGGGTGTTTGTAGTATCCTGGCATTTTAGGGCCTCCAAAACTGCAATAGGTAGTGAAGAACTGATATGAGGAAATATGCCCTTTGAAAGCCTGAAGGTGATCATTGGGTTTTGGGGGCATGTATGTGGCTAGGCTTCCAAAAAGTCTCTCACGTGTGGTACTCCCATATTTGGGAGAAGTAGAAGAATGCATTTTTGGGTGTTACTTCACATATATCCATGGCATGTATGAGTCATTCATAATTTAAGTGACAACTTTGTGTTTACAAAAAAAAAGTTGCCATTTTCCAAAAATTTGTTACAAATAATAAAATCTGGCACATGCCTATCAGCAAATTCCTTTGGGTGTCTTCTTTCTAAAAAGAGGTCATTTGGTGGAGCATTTTAGCACCTCAATAAATATGATAGACAGTCAGAAAGTAAAAGCTGCGTAAATTCCACATTTGAGTGTATTGAATATTTTTTATAACAGAAACAAGACAATATTTATTTTTTTTAAATGTTGGGTTTTATCATATATATATATATATATATATATATATATATATATAACAAAAAAAAAATCAGTGGTGATAAAATACCACCAAAATAAATTTCTATTTGTTTGAAAAAAAGGACATCAATTTTGTTTGGGTACAGTGTTGTATGACCGAGCAATTACCAGTTTAAAACGCGCAGCGCCGAATAGCAAAAAATGTCATGAAGGGGGGTAAATCTTCCTGAGCTGATGTAGTTAAGGATTCATCATCTGATTTATCAGTGAAGATACCCAAAAAAAAACGACATATCACCAAAGTTGGCTCTTCCCATGGGGCTCCATTTGGTCAGAAATTGGGACCTATGGCCAC